GCCACAAGTGTAGGAGAAAGTTTCTTCTGGACTCTGTTGATTTCTTCTGTTGTACGAAGCATATGAGCAAATATTTTTATATAAAAAAATGATATCATCGTAAGAAGGAGAATTCTATATCTAGTTCAGAAAACACTCTTCTGTTGTGAAAACTTAGCAAGATTTGAGTATTACCAAGATTCGCACTAAGTTTTCTATCATACCTAAATAAATAGAAAGTGTGTTATGATAACATTTCCTATCATTAATATGTCAAGGCAAATGAGTGTTGATATAGGAACTGATTCTCCGCTGACCACAGTGTGGCATTTGCTAACCATTTGAGCAAATATTTTTCTATTACAAACTGTGGCACGCGAGATGAAACAAACATTACTGCTATCGCTAGTAGGAAAAGTAAACACTCTCTTACACACTATCAATATATACTTGTAAACATTTCTGTATATAAACACAATATAAACTTATATGAGATAGTGGTAATTGTTTATATTGTTTTACAACATACATTGTGCATATAATTTGTTTTCTAAAAGAGTACAAGCTATTTTACGTGATACTAAACTGAACATAAACTATTCAGTTATTCAAGAATTACATCAATTTCTTCCGTATATTCAGAGCCTAATTATTGTTTAATCTACCAAGTAATATAGGTTTCTGGGTTACGTCAGATAATGATATTTTAAAATATATTATAAACATTTATAGCAACACTTAACAATTTAATGTTTTACTCTCTTTTGTGGACATTTTATCAATAGATATTATAATGTTGTTTGAAAATCCATGATCTATGTTTTACGTAATAAGAAAACAATTTCACTCATAAATTGTATGCTCTTTATTTTTTCTTATGAAGCCACGGGAATACATTCTTCTATAGGAGAAAATTTCTGGAAATATATTGTATTAAAGCTATTACAGTAGAACGTGTGCACGATCCTACTGAAAATAATTTTGTTTTTCCCTGTGCACCAACGTAAATGAATTAATAACTATTTGGAATCCTTAGAACTCCCGAACCCCTTAACCCCTTTCAAATAATGAGAAGATATTTACCTCATATCTTGACGTTCTAAGGGCGGTGGGATCTGTTGGCTAGCTGCATTCCCTCCGGGCTGTTTAAAATTAGGAAAGACTAGTGCAGAAAACCCTCGAGTAGCTTTGTACGAAATCACCAAAACTAGATATGTTGCATAAGATGATTCTCACACAACAGTGCTAGAAAAATAGTTAATTTAAACACTTCATGCTCATTAAAATTTTGAAGTTTTGCATATAAATTGTATTTATTTTATGTACCTTCTATATTTGTTAACGAGAAACAACTAAATTTATTAAAACTGTTCCAAAAACTTAAAGAAGCAAGATTGAATATTTACATTGATTTTCAGCAAAATGAACAACAAAACGAAATTTAGGATGACTTTTAGAATCACCATTTACTTGTTGAATACGATCAGTGTATTGATTCATTGACAGTATAATACTAGTTGCAATATTGGAAACAAAATTATCTTAAAATGGAAATGATGAGAATTGGGCTAACTTAATAAACTGAAAGAGTAACATTAAGCAAACAAATCTGACGATAAATTAAAATGGAAATGATCAGACTTAGTCTAACTTAATAACCTGAACAATCCATCTCTGCTATAGTTTCTTGTTCAAGTCCATTCTGCATAATCTTGTGAGAATAATACCAAATATATCCCTATAACTGGACACAGTTTGATCTAATTTCACCCGCTAAGCTTTGCACAGTGGAGTTTATTACCATGTCATTATGTCGGATAGCAAAGGTTTTGCATCTAAGAAACGTAAAAAATCCTTTACGTCAGTCCGTATTAATGCCTTATACATTCTAAGTGACAAGTCACAAAAATGGTTATATTCAACGATGTTATACTGAACATTACCTTCCAGCTATGAACACGTCGACAACTGAAAGAGGCAAGAAACATTTTTGACTCATGTGTAAAAAGCATATACGCTCATTAGCGTTGCTTTTAATTGTGTTGATATCGAGTAAAGTTCAAATCAGATCTATAATTATTATTCAGGCTGCAAATTTATCGCAACGCACCTAGGTGCACTAAAGGTAAGCTGATTCTCGTTGGTGTAGCAACCAATTCCCAACACTTGAAGATTTTCACCCAAGATTTTCGAAAACATTCACCCAATAGAATTCAATATATGAAACTAATAGCCAACGGTCTAGCTACCACCAACAAAATGAAATCAGAATATGATAAAATTTGAAGAATATATTAATGTGCTGTTTTTAAAGAGTAGACGATGCCGGAAAAGCTGTGCTTTCTCACAACAAGTCACAAATAAAATGTGCATAACAAATGGGTTATCGTTTTTTTATTTACATTTAGGTGTAATTTCCCAAATAGTATTTGTTCTTATGCTTCCTCAGGCTAGTATTTATAAAATAACC